ACCCTCGGTGCTTCAAGGCCGAACTATAGATGTATTCGCGATGCGGACAGGCGCAATTCGTGACCCGAAATCGAATCCCATGCCGCCCCCTCCCCCCTCCCGTCCGATTCCGATCCCGTTCCCGATTCCCTTCCGCGACCCGAATTCCCCACGGTTCCGTTAATTGGACGTCAAAGATTGGAAACGAAATCGCGGCAATCGCGATTCCCCTACCGGGGTGATCGATCGACTTCCATTTTTTCCCTTTTGTGAAATCCGTGCTGCTCGCGAATCGTATGTAATTACCACTAAAAGTAAGCTACAAACGCGCACGGGCCCCGCGAACTAATCCGATGCGTTCGCCTCGATAGCCGATGAACCAATTAACCGAGTTATCGGAAGCCCATTAACCGGGAAGCGTTCGACTCTCCCTAATGCACTTGCATTGAAAACGTGCTTTAAATTCGATGCTCGTGAATTCCTTTCGTTCGATTCCGATAAATTTATTCGACTACGGTGGGTAAGCGCAACAGTGAAGATTACCATCGGAAATGGGATTACGTGAATCCGTCGGAAAGGTTTTTACAAGCGAACACAAATATGAATGAGAACGCTGCTTCCGACATCTTCCCTTGACATTTTCCTGGAGCACTCGAGGACCATGGAAAGCCCGCAGACAGAAGTTATTACGATACTTGGCAAGGCAGCAACCACGTTGCTTATCGCAATTGTCGAAAAACTTGGAAATTCGTATCTCGCGATGTACCAATCTGGCAAGTCGTCGTCGTCGTCTTCGTCATTGTCGGTGTTCTCGAAATTATACGTATACTCGATTGATTTCCCATTTGTTTCGATATTACACGGCACAGGGTCAGGAAATTGGACTCGAGTATCTTGGATAAATCATCGACTTCGCTCGCACAAGACAATTGCGTTTCCGTTCGCAAAGTTTAGCCATGCATTTCGGGAGCCCGTCCAGTTACGTATACATATACCCAGCCGCGGGTACAGTTGGAAGCAACGTTCGTTGCTCTTTAGTAGCTTCGTTTCGTAAGCGTCAAGGACCCTTGTTCCAGGGGGGATTAACGCGACGGGACACTTTGAAATCCAGCGCCAACCTGCCGCGTTTCCTCCTTTTCTCCACTACGTGTAATTCCATTTGGTGCTATTAGCGACTAAGATGGTCCTTTCCTCGCAGCCAAGGGAATAACTTTTTAACAAACGGTTTCGTTGGACTCTTCCAACCGGGACTCGAACGCTCCCCACTTCGTCGTCGAGCACGAGATTCCTCTTTCTTGAACAACCGGTCGCTTTATGAAGTATATTGTACTCGAATTTCCCCCGAGACCGGTATAACGATACCTACGGATACACTTTACTGTTCGCACTTTTTAGATTACTTTCCAGAATACAGCTATAACTTTCACGCTACGTTTTGTAATTGACGATGGGTTAGCCGTTACTTTTTGCGGGATGGGCAACTAAACGGTGAAAGGTGGAGATAGAGAGTGGAGGCAGGGATGCAAGAAAACAGAAGAAAATTAATTTCGATAGAAAGACGAGTGTTGGAAAAAGGAAAGAGGAAATAATCAATTGCAATTCGGCTAACGGCGTTAATTGAACGTCTGTCTTAACGCTCACACGTAATCCAATGAGAGAAATATAAGCTAGATTCAGATTTATCGTGATCTGACCGTGCCTTTGATCGCTGGCGTGAATCCGGCGCAAGATGAAAAATAAAGTTTTCACGAAATCAATGCTCGTAAGAAGTATGCTTCGCCGAGGAAAGGTAAAGCAATCCTTATCCCGACAACATTTGCCAGACTTTCCGAACGATTTGAAACTTTCGAAATTCACCTAAGTCCAAAACGATTTTTTAATAGAAAGCTTCGTTTCGTTTAACTTTCTCGCTGGATATAAACTTTGTTTTTATCGATATTCCGACGTTCCTCTTCTTCCGAAGTCCAAGTGGAACCGTCTTTTCTTCCCCTTTGTGTCCTTTCATGGCCGCCACTGATAAAAAGAGTCGTTGCCATGAAACTCGGGACAATCTATTCGTTTTATCGGCGCAAATATGCTCTAGGTCCTCGTGCGAAGCTAACAGTCGACGCGGGTCCCACTCTCGTGAGAATTACGAACCAGTTCGCGGAGCAACGCGAGCACACACGATACCAGTGTAGGTATGTACAGTTTTTCGCATTCCCGTCACTTTGTCTTCCAATACCCTGCAACTTATCTTCGTTCTGGTTGCATTTGAAAAATTGATCGAACACTCTATAACTCGAATATTTATCCTCGCTTCAAAGTGTTCCTGTAGCGACTAATAACAGATTTTGTATTGTTGCAGTGGCGAGGCGTGGCACGAAAAACGGATTACAAAATTGTTCCCATCTTTTTTTTTTTTTTTTTTAACAGAGACCAACCGTCGCAACGGAAATGAAACTCGTGGGTGGTGACGTGTGCGTTACGCGTCAACTAGTTATGTTGGAGTAGGAGGGCGAGGAGGAGGAGGAAGGAACGAAAACGATTTGAAATAACGTTCTGGTCTTCCGGTGAAAAGCGAGAACCAAGGGAACTACCAAACTACTATCGACTGCAGAAACTCGAGGCATTCCGGAAGTCTGTAAAAGCGTGAAGACGTTCCGCGGACTTCCACGTATTTGTTAAGAACTTGAAACTGGAAAAAGACGACGATCCGGAATTGTATTTCTCGACGATTCCCCGACTGTGTTTGGAGTCGCGATACTAACGCGGACTCGCAGAGATTCGCGACGATAGCCCGACTTCTCGAGGCAAACGGGGAAGAAAGTATGAAACTTTGGAGCATCTTGTTGCGGCCGAACATACATATACATACACACGAAATCTAAGTTGGAAGAACGTGGTCAGAGATACTCCGTACATACGCTTTTGTGTATCAACGCAACAATCTCGCGGTTAACCAGTGTAGTCGTAGTTTAATTACGTTGAAATTCCGAAAATCCCTCTGGTTTAGATCGGTAGATTCCGTCGCGACAGAATCTTCCGATTCGGCTCTGAATCGGAGATGAAGTTAATCGATCCGACATTTAATCGAGAAATTCCAGAGCTCCCTAACAATTACATCGAAGAAAGAATTCGAGATTTAACGAGGACGTTCCTGACTCGTCGACCATGCCTCGAACACTGACGAACCAATACCGTTCGGATCGATGCGGTACCGCAGCCGCGAACAAATTCTTATCGAATTCAAACGAGTAACTTGCCCGGCTTCGCCGCCGTTAAACTGATTGCCGAGAAGGTGTCGCGAGGCGGAATCACGTTTATTCTTCGTTAAAACTTGAACCGTTTGTCAAGCAGTAGCCTCGAGGTGTTGTACGTTGGTCTCGGGATGAAAGTTCTTATCGGGTGTTTTGCGAGAGTCGGTGCGACCTACTCCGCTCCAAATTAAATCACTCTTGCGTTCCAAGCCGAGCGTAACCATTTAATTGCATACCTTGGCCTTCGTTCTTACGATCCCGATCGTTATGGTACCTATTTTCGTTCGCGTTTCTTCGAGGTGATCGAACATCGGTAAACATTAATCGACATTTAAAGACTCGAGTGAAAAATAAGTCAGCATTTCGCGCGAAATTTCTTCCTTTTGCAATTACTAACCCCCCCCCCCCCTGCGCGAAAGTCGATAAAAATTTCCCGAAAAATAAGCAGGTATAGTTGCCCCGGCACTTAGCGTTCCCGTGCACGTTACGTGTCACACACGGAATTCCTTTTGTTGGCCAACCCGTTTTCTTCGTAAACTTTCATCTTATTCCGGGTTGCCGATAATGTACCGCGCGAAACAGGCTAACGTGTCCCGTCTAAAAAGGGAAGTTCTTATCGCGGCATTGTTGCCCTTTCTTTCCACTTTCGCAAGAGGCGAACCCCGCTCTCTCAACTACCAAATTGAATTAGTTCCTCGCGCCGTCTGTCTGGTTGACCCTCGCGCGATGGCTTCTCCCAGTCCCTCCGGGTAATTCAATTTCTCGCTTATGCGATTCGTCCGGGCTGCCCTCCACGGATACATATACCTACTCATCGTCCAACTGAGAACCTCTTTTTTTCAGTCAGGAGGAAACGGTGTGCTCGCTGCCTATCCATGGTATCCGCGGTAATTAGAAGCACCGGCTTCCTAATCTCCTAAACCACCATCGATCCATACATTTCAGGCTACTTCGCCACTTACTCACACGGATGAAAGTGTAAAGTGTATGTAAAGCGATAATCGATCAAACGGGGAGATCCTCCGATCCTCCGACGCATACTGAAAACTAATATTATCGTGTACGTGTAACTTCGATCATCCAGCGGAATATATTTCCCAGTTTATCAAAAATGTGATGGGATATAACACTGACGATCGAGTAATATCCCGTTTTCATCGGCGATATTAATAACTGTCCGCCGATACACAGAACCGTGGGATTTGTACGGAACAAAAAAAAAATCGCGCATTCCACTCTAAAGGGAAACGAGATACGTTCGCAAATAAATTTCAATTTATTATTATCGTAACAATACCTGTAACCCGAACGAGATATCGGAGCAATAGAAAAGATTAAAAACCGTGAAAGCGCGTAAATAGACCAATGAAAATCGACAGGACCAGTTTACGCGTGTTCCGGATAAATAATTTATTCTTCGCGCAATTCGTTTGAGCGACGATGGTAGTAAGAATTTAAGCGTAAAACCGAAGCTAGCGGCGACGATGCTCTTGATATCTAGTAGGTTTTACTTCTTTACTTCGGCCTCCGTGAAAGAAAAACTGAGAGCTCGTGATCGTGGCGAATGCGAAGCAAGTTGCAGCGACAGTACCATTAGACTTAGGACCTGTTTCTCGATAAAAGTCCGAACGAAGTGAAAAGTACAACGTAGTTCGTTAACGAAATGCAAGCGTACCCGCGTAATTTCACTTTAATCCTTCAAACTCGATCGCCGATGAATACTAAATACACTCAATTAAAACTCCTTCCGGAAACTTTCGAAATCGACTAAAAGCGACTCACCTTCGACGTCGTCTGCCACCGTGTCTCCGGAATTAAAGAGGTCATCTGAAACAGAAGTTTATCAGCGTTAGCCTCTACTCTCGTCAGAGGGACGGCACTTCTGCCTTCGTGGAAAATACTCGGCGCGAATCAATTAATCCTTATTTTATACGCGCATCGCGTTTGCGACTGCTTGTTTGCGAAACCTCTGGCAGAAAAAACAACAAAATTCACGGCTTACTACATGCTTCTGAGATCAGGAGTCTCGAGTAAATATACATATACATACATATACATATATCTGTTTGTTTAAATACGCTCGATAATGCGTATATTATTCTGAAAACGGAGATGATTCTAACCGACAACGGCTGATAAATTATTATTAGCCACAAATTTCAATCGTGCCTTCGACGAATAATACGCACGTAGGTACTTACACGTGCATGTATGCAACGGTAGCTTGGAGCGCTATCCACCTTGAATCGTACGGATACATTATAAATTATGAGTTTATTCATACTTAAGCAACTCGATATTTCATCCATTCGGAGACATTTATCGCGCAAATACTTGAATAGATTACCGAACGGCTAATATGGAAAGTAAATTTTGTGCGACATCGAGGCGAAACCTAAACAAACGTAAAGTTATCCGGAAGTACCGACCACGAAATCCTCCGGCTAATCTTCTCGGGACAACCATCGCGGTATTTGCCATTAATATTTGCGAACACGTAACTGCTCTTTGCTCTAATCAACTCATCCGTCTGACTTACGTCGACGCGCGACAGCTTTTCAAACTCGTTTTCACGAAAAATATTTGGTGGCGGTGAAATGTACAGGGTGTTCGAAATCTCCCCCAAAAGTCCCCCGCGGTGCAAACAGAACCATCGGTCACAAACACTTGGGTTTCATTGGTCAACGGTGGAAAAGTGGGGATCGATATGCTGGGTATTGACCTTTTGCAAGGTAGATCATGGCAGCAGATTCTATTGGTTCCTCGAAGGATCTACAACGCACGGTTTCAAACGTATTTCTGTACTGAATTCTTAGCTGTTCCTTCCGTGTAACTCAGTTTAATTTTCTTTGGTGTAGTTACTGTAGCACTTCGACGGACATTCGCAGTGTATATGTGACCTTACTAATGAATAATTGTCGTGTATGTGTATGATCTTTAATAAACATTCGGTGTTTATGTGCATACTCGTTAACGGATATTCGTTATTTACGTGCAAACTTTTTGGTGAATACTCGCTGTGTGTGCCACAAATTGTTTGGACTTCACCCGTGAAGACTTCATGGAATAGGTAAGTTCAATACTGTCCAAGAATTTTCAAAGTGATACAAATTCCTCTAACTCTGACGGGTATCGTCGACTTTCCCACAGTTTACTGCGAAATATGTATGTCTGGGATTCTCATTGACTTTTTATAGCACTGTAAGGCCCCTCTGTTCAGCTGCTTTGTACATACTTGCCTGTTGCCTACGGATTGCCTAATTTCACCCTAATTTTTTAGTGGATATTTGTTACTCTTGAGTATCGTTTTATATGGGTAGATAGAATTACTCTTTAAACTTTCGGACACCTATTACCGAACACCCTGTATATGCGTACAGCGAGAATTCGTGACGAGAAAGACTGGAAGCCAATTGTTGTAGTACCTACGACATTATACAGACATCCACGCGCGTTGCGTCAAACTTTTACACTATGTTGTATGTAGGATTCGGGCAGAAACACATGAATTATACCTAACCGTAGAAAAAGTTGGTGTCCGCTTCGTTGATACCGTTCGTACGAGTGCAATAGCTGCGCGTTCACTTCTACCTGACCAGCTCTTTGAAAGGGATTAAATTGAATCCCACGATCGATAAAGCGTTCGTGTAACGACCCAATTATGAAGTTATTGGTTACTCGAGTGTACGAAAGAAGATATCCCGGGGATAGGCGGTAATCTTATAGTAATACCTACCTTTGTGCTCTTCTTTGCGATTACTAAAAGCAGGATTAGCGCTTGGAAGAGTAACTCGACTACGGATTAAGGGAGTGAACGCTTCGGAAAAGAAGTAGTATTTTATAGCTCTTATGGTACGAAGCAAAGACACGATCGAGAAAAAGGTGTTTTGTAATTTACGAAGAAGAAAGGTTGCCAAGCTAGCATACCCCTGGCATAACAAAATGTTCCGAAGTTTCGCCGTATCGTCGAGTCAAACGGTGATTGGATTCGATACGTGAGAAGAGTCGCTACGCGCAAAAACGAGCCTAAGAAATTCCTAAGGGTGCGAAAGATGAAGGGACTCTTACGCCCCTTTTCCTCCAGTCGTTTTTTTTTTCTCAATTTTCCTGACACGGGTCTGGGTTAGGTCTTTCTACTCTCGCACACGCGGACCCGATTCTCATTTCAACAGACAAAATGGAAAACATATCCCCCCTCGCCCCAGTCGACTGTTTTATTCAACCGAAAAGCTCCTTCGCCTCGAATACAAAACAGCATCGCCGACAAGCAAGAAAAAGCAATTTTAGAACGGTTCAAAACACTTGCACAGATTCGAATTGTAATTCCGGTCACCTTGTAGGTATAGAAGACGCGATACCTACCTAAGCACAATACCTAAGTCTCTCATTACATGGACGTTTAGTCAATATATGCATCGATTAGTTTCCAAGTTAGTTTCCACGTAGAATCGTGGCAACTCGACGGTGAACTGGCGCAGGAAATGAAACCGAAGCAATAGTCTAGTATAAACTCAAACTAAAGTTGTTATAAAGTCTATCTAACCGTCGAACTCGCAGCCGAAACGCACGCTTTCCGTGTACGTTACAAAAGGCATTAATACCTTGTAATAACCACGAGGACAGGGGGACACTCGAACGTTGGGTAAATTTTGGTAATAATTACTGAAATTAACTCCATTAGTTGCCTGTAGTTTGCGAACGAATTAATAGGCAAAATGGGAAAACTTTCGAATAATGACCGATATTCGCTTGGAAATCGATGATCGCCATACGTTACGATTTCGTATTTTATTTCAACCTGAAAAGCTGTTCGAAATGGAAACCGGATTCGATGTGTCTGTCCGTTTAGGATCAGCATCGCGTTTGTTCGTTTTATTACTTTTTTTTTGTGTGTTACAATATTTCATACGGTCAGCTGGACCGATTTCATGCATCATCCGTCTGCCCATAACTGTTCTACAACGTACATATGTATTCCGTATGCAAATACTTTGGGAAGGAAAGTTTGTCGGACAAAATCTCCGACGAAATACGCACTTGTTACCGATAAGAGTGGGATTCTGAGAAAATGAGTAAAGTTACGGTGAAACTTTTACTATTGAAGTAAACGCCCGGGTAAAGTGGTCGGCTAGGAATTTCTAAAATAACGAGGACTCCGCGCAGTTTGCATTATTCGCTCCGAGTAATTGTAGAAGGGAACGCCCCCGAACGAGCTGGACGGTTTCGAAACTGAAAGTGATCGGGAAAATATGGTGAAAATAGTGGGAAAGTAACTCTTAGTTCTCACCGTCTCTTTGTTCGGCTCAGTTCGACGGACTTAGAAATGTTAGTCGCGTGTTTGACTCCCCGCAAAGGAACAATCCGCATGCTCCCTCTACCTTTAAAGTACGTACACGATTAAACTTCTCCCGACGAATCGAATTTAACTTTCCGCCCCGGTGGAGGGAGGTAACTACTTTTGTTACTCACTCGCTAACAACTTCGTTACACGTTCAACAGCCAAGTCTGCCGGGGGTAGACTGCCGAAAGTTTAGCTGAATGAAAAGACGACTTAACTATTGATTTTATATAAGGTAGTTCCGGAACCTCGTACTATAATTGTCAGCGACTTATTCGTTAATCGATACGCCGCGGCGCCCCTGAAAGAACAATGGAAAGCGTAACTGTTCGTGGGCCGTAATTTCTTCGTATCCCATTTAGACTGTCTTTCGATCGATTATTCTTCAGTGGACGAATCGTTGAATCGAACGTTGAAAGGAAGCTGACGATCGTACACGCGTAACCGAACCACTCTTTCGAGTAACACGGTTATTTTTGGTTGCTTTAATCAGAAACAAAGAAGCGAAAAGAACGAGCACGTCACCCCCGACTTGTTCGTCCGTGTCTCTTTCTCATTAACATCGCTGTCGTCGCGACGACGTCGGCGGCGGCGGCGGCAGTGGCATCCCTCGTCCTCCTGACCTTTCTTTTCCCTTAGTCACCATTGTCTCTTTCTTTTGCTACTATTTATATTTTCTTTTCATTAACGGGCAACTGCCGTTTCGTTACTTCAGCTCCCGCTCTCCTTTCTTTCACATACTCCGTCCACTCTAACGACTCTTATTTTCAGAAACAAGCGGAAAACCAGCGATTCGAATTTCCTATCTACGACACGTGTACACCCGCACATCTATACATAGAAGCCAATTAAATAAATCGGAAAGAAATATTTGCCTTTGCAACATACCATAAAACTGCAATAGCCGACAAAAGTATTAACGAACCGTCTATTTATAATGGACAGAGCGTTATTAAACAGAAGGTCAGCTGGATTCACGTGAATGCAGGTTATACGATCCGCGATCGATATTTATTCTTTCCAGTATAATTGCGTAACGCGAACGGAGCACGGACCAACGAGATTACTCGCGTTGGATTGGGGAGTTCAATCTTTCCTTCCGATATTGAAAAAGTCAATTGTTTACATCGTGTTCCTCAGCCATAACATAACTTTCAAAACGTACCTGCTATTTTCATCGGACGCCACATACATACATATGTAATAATATCAACGTTGCTTGACGTCGAATACACGCGTTAACACGAGGCGAATAAATCGTACGTAAAAGTTATCTAGTCAAAGCGATGATCGACGCAACGTAATCATCGCGAAATCGCAACCACACCGCACCGTTTGTGTGCACTGAGTCTAACTGTAGGTACATATAAATGTTACAGGATGAGAAACTGTAGAAAACTTACCGTAACCCATTTTTGCAGCCAAATTCAGCTTGCACTCGTATCGCGTGAGGTACATGTAAGGCCGTGGCTCGTCCGGACACCGAGGTACCGGTGGTCCACAAACGCACTTTCCTGTCGCCACTGTATTTCCGTTCTCTCCGGTGATTCCCTCAGAAACCAAGTTGCATCCAGGCTCCGACAGTATCGGCCCGTTCGGACAATGCCTTCTCCATCTGCCCGGAATCTCTGTAAAAATTGCACGTGGTACGGAAAATGCTAGGATATAATTATCCTTGGATGAAATGTTTCCTCGATAATGAAATTGATAATGAGAATTCTCTACGCCCGAATATCTCGCCAGATTCGATACACTCGCTCTTCCTAAATTATCCTTCTAAATTGGGCACACACGCATCGTTTCCCTTCCGTTCGTTCGGAAAACAACGTGACGATAATATACAGGGATTGCCGGGAAATCGAGATACATAGTCTGTAGTTTCTCTTTTCTCGTGACGAAAAATGACTGTATAAATTGTGAGGACCGAGGAAAAAGAGATTTTTCAGACCCATGGCTGACCAGACCGAGCCTTAACCAGATAAGCTACGGTGCCCTTTCGCTTTTCCCAGTTTCCTAACTCTTCTTAACGGGTCTGGAGGCCATATGATCCTACAGAATGGAGAGAGATAACGCACACTCGAGCTGGCAGAAAAAGACACGCGGGTCGCAGCGCAACGCGTCGCAAAATCGTTACGAATTCGTTTACACGAATCCACATTTTGTTTATTTCGCTGTCCCTTTGGGAGGAACCAGTAACAAAGAGTCGCGAATAATACACGAATTAAATTCGAGATCGAAAGCACGACAGATAATATCGCGCCGCTGTTTTCCACTCAGCGTTGTTTCCGTTGTTCTCTATGTTTTTCACTGTGAGATAATTATTTTTCGAAGCTTTCGCTGTTTTTGCGAGAGTGCGTGCCGGTTCCATCGGTAACAATTATCGAGTTTCGAAGATTGGATTCAATTTTAATTACACTTGCGATTCACAACACGATTCGTCACATTGTTCACAGCGTGGCGGATCGAAAACATATGGAAAATACAACGTGAACGATAAAAAAAAAATGTTAAACTCGGTTCGTTTCGTTCGAAAAAAAAGTCGTCGGAAGCTTCGTCTCGTTGTTCCTTTTACAAGGTACGCCCGTGGTATTCCCGTAACGAGTAAAACGTTCAAGAAAATATGCATCGGTTCGACGTGTACGAGGTGAATTTCCGTGCGACACGAAGCCTCGCATCAATACCAGAAAGTCAGTCCGATTACGCGTTGGCAACATCGGTAAACAGGCCAGGTACGTACAATACACGTCCAGGTTTCGACTACGGCTTCCTATCGTGCCCGGGAGAATATAACGTGGTTTCCTAACGATACTCTGTGTATACACCAACGACAAATTCGGATTCAATTACGAGCGTCGCGCAAAACCGAAGCAGCTATCTGATCGGGAACTGCGGGAATGGCAAGATTCGCCGCGATTTCGAGGAGGAACCGTGGAGATCGAAATATCGTGTACACGTCGACGGAACGACCCAGAAAAGTGTCCCTCGCTTTTATAGAGTGGAAGGAAAGAAATAAGAGAATGGGAGTTATTTGTTGCAAAGGAGGATGTAACTTTGCAGCAGGAGCAACTTGGAAGGAGAGATAGCCAAGCCCCCGCGTAATCATGCCGCCGTGCTTCACCTCGGCTCTCTTCGCCTCTCCCCTCCGCGCCGCGACTAGACTCGCCTCGACGGCCGAGTTACCCGATCGATAAGTTTAATAATCCACAGTCGAGCGCCCCAGAAATCGAATTTGCCGATCGGTTTACCGATCGATCTTCCGCGCCGAAGCAAACCCTAAACGCGAATTCATTTCGAGTTAATGGTCTGAATGCGCTTCCGGCTAATTGACCGCGGTTCGCCGAGTACACAACCAAGGGAGTGAACGCTCTCGACCGAACCGAACCGAAACGAACCGCCTTTCGATCAAGAAAATCCCAAATTCTCCGGGAACTTGCTCAAACACGGGAACTAACCGAAATTACCACAAATCCGCGGAAACGTCCGTTTCACGCGCAAAACACGGCGAGATTTATGTTTGCGAATGTCTATCACCTCTTCTTCGGCTTCCGTATTGCCGCAGTCGAAATAGTAAGACATCGACGATTGTTGACTAATGCGCAACTTGTCATTGGTATCGTAACTTTCGCCCACACGACGCATTCACACGTGTTAGCGGTTCATTCAAAGAGACTCGGTCAATTTGCCGCAACGACGATAACAATATCTAATTTACCGGTTAATTTATAAAGGAAAAGTTTCTTAATGCGATTTCAGCTAAAAGTAGCAGCGTGTACAACGTATGTATGTGCAGTACTGTTCTCGCGGTGGATTCTATCCCCATTGTTCCCGAGTTGGTAACGAAGTAAAAATTCGAGAATCTCGAACAATTCGAATAACCGCTTGAGCGGATACTAACGCGTAGAAATCGTGCTTCACGCGAGACTTCCACGTGTGAGGATTTTTCCCGGATTTAGAAGAACTCGATGGAAAAATCAACAATGGAGTTTACTAGGAAATACGGAAGTATGGGTAAAGCTGATTTGTCAAAAGTAAAAACTAAAATTCGCGACACGTTGGGCGGTCCAGGCGGAAACGGTGTTCGGAGACTCTGTGAAATGTAGATTTCCGGTTACGAAGAGAATGGTGTTATGAAAAATAACGGGTCGGTCTGGCAGACACTAAGTAAATTACACGCGCGGAACGAGAGGCGACTTAATCAGTCCGCGCACGTTTAGCGCGACTCGTGCCCATGGAAATCATCTACTGACGGGAAACTGAAAACGGACAGCGGAACGGGAGACGCGGAAAACAGGAAAGCGTACAACCACCCGGCCAGGCGGTGTCTGCGAATTTTTTTTCCAAGTCCGTTCGCGTGCGTAACAGAGAAAAAAACGCGACATCAAAATGCACCGTACGGCTTGACAGCTATTTGTTTCCCGGACTGACGTAGACGTCCGTAACAATTAAACGAACCGGAAACTAAAACTATGCCTTCTCATTAGCCGTCGCGCGAACAATGATCGATCGTCCGAGATAATTATGAGACGCGCTCACTTTGGTTTGTTTTCATTATTCGATAACGGAGCGAGCAAGATATTCTCCCGTATAATATCGTAAAAGAATTACGCGTTTCGCTTTTTCACAACTCTGTTAATCTTTGATAAAACATAAGAATAGGTGTACCTAACGAAGGAACGGGATTTGCTCGACCGAAAGGATAAAACAAGTTATTTGATTTACAATCCCCTGGCAACGTGGCCCTTATTCCATTATATCGAATCTCGTGTTGCCTGAAATACAACGAGATAAACCAGCATACGTCCGTGCCCGCGAATTAAATTCGTGTCCATGTTCGAGTCGTTTCGCGAAAGGTCGAGGCGATGTTAATACAACGAGTACGTGGTGAACGACAATGAAAAATGGGTCGATCCGTCGCACGAGTATACAGTTAACCGATTCTATTCATTCGATGCGTACGGAACGAATCTCCCGAACATCATGAATGTTTCAAAAATACCGTGCACATAAAGTATACGTTTTGTTTCGAAATTCCTACCTCTACCAAGCTCCGAGAGCCATGATCGAAGGCGAAACGAGCTTGTTTCTACAGTATATGTATACATACGTACAAACGTAATGTACGATACTTGAGAAAATTACGGTGAATTCGACGAACGCGCCGAGAACCTCGATATCGAGAAGGACATTTTCGCAACCAGAAGGGCATTCCCGTTGACGTTAATCCATTCCGTGATTCGAAATCCCCGGAGCGATAAATTCGTTTAAAGCGAGCTCAAATTTACGGGGAATACATGAAAAAGATTCACGAGACTCCGCCCACTCGGTTTTCACCCGGTGCCTAATTTTCCCCGGAACTTTGGCAGTTATTCTCTTTACCCGTAGCCGCGATGCATCCTAATTAACTCCTCAAATTGAATCTCGCGCGCTGCTTAGTACGTCTTAACGGTGGCTGCTTCGTCTTTGGATTGCGAAACGAGCGACGGGAGATAACATTACTCGACCGACCGATCAAACGTCCGATTCGATCTGAAATTGTGTACAGATACGCGAACATCACGCTGTGGCCACCCCAGTCACGCGTACAATACGTTTGGTGCCGACGACACACAGCCTTTCGTGACAAGCCGAACAGTACAGATCTCAACCCCTCCCCTTGTCCGAGTGTTTGCTTTCCATGGACTGGTATCCTATCGTATTTAAAATCCGAAAATCCGTCTGATGCATCCAGGTTATCACGGCGCAATCCATCGATGTTATAACATCGTCTATCTCTGCCGTTGGATCTCTCCTGTCTCTTACCGAATCGCGTAATGTCACGAATCGCAATCGCGCGCACACGCGGTAATCTGTGCGTTCGAGGACGGGGCCGCGATTGACTCGCACCACCCACTGTGTGACGGTGTAATAACAAGGCTCGCCGAGGTTCCGACGGCTCACGCGAAATAAAGCAAGTAATCGATTGCAACCGTACACAGAGCGACAGACCCTACATACAGAGTATACATAGAGACAGACCCTCGCAGGATACACCAGGAATCCTTGGCTTAACCGCTCCAACGTGCGCGCACGTGAAATTGCGCGTTTTCCTGCGATGCCGCCGCATCGCGAATAATAGCGATACCTCCGCTGGTTTCCGTACCAACGATCCTGCGGTCGCGTTTCCGAAACCAGCATGGATCGTAACGATGTCTACCCGTTCCGTTGTGCATCTTGCGATCTTCCAGCCTTCGCGGTCTGCTCTGCGCTCGCGTACCAGGTTCTACTGGGATAATTTCGATGAATTAATTATCGACAACAACATCCTTACAAGATCCACCGATCGAATCTGAGAATCATCGATCGGTCTCGCGAACAATTTCAGTCACGAACCAAACGAACCTCTGAATCATAACTAAATACCTATTTCGAATACGTTGGAACATTGAGAACCGTACCAATGCAAAAAGGTGTCCATCGGAAATATCGACCGAATCACCGTTAAACATAACTACATATTTACCGAACACCGTCCTGTATAGACACGTACGTATCCTGTAATGCTCCGGCGGTTACGGCACCGGTGTGCCGCGGTTAAATCGGCAAACTCGAACGATGCAATTTATTTTCTGTTGTTCGTTCCTATTTGTAC